TCTATTGGCCTTTCCTGCAGGCACAAGAATGTGGAGTGAATGAATGAGTGAATGAAAGGAAATCTATAACCATTTTTTTCTTTTTTTCTGTCTTTTCCTCTCCTACCTCTTCCTTTCTTTCCTTTTCCACCCTTTCCTTTACTATACTTTGTATCCTTTTATTCCCTTCCTTTTTTTCCTGTTTTCTTCCTTTTCATTTTCTTGCCTTGTCTTTCTTTTCCTTTTTTATACATTCTCTTTCTTTCATTTTTCCTTTTCCTTTCCTTTTACTGTTCTTCTGTTTCTTTTTTCTGTTTTTTTTATTTATTTTCCTTTACTTTCATTTACAACTCTTCTTTCTTTCCTTTCCCTTTTCCTTGTCTTTTTTCTTTCCCCTTTTCTTAGCCTTCCTCGTCCTCATTCTCTTCATTTAATTTTCCTTTTCTATTTGCCTTTCCTTTACCTTACTATTTCCATTCCTTCACTTTCCTCTCCCCTTCCTTTTCTATTTCCCATTAATTTCCGTCCCAGCTTTTTCCTTCTTTTTCCTTTCCTTGCCTGCTCTTACCTTTCCTTACACTTAGTCCATTCCTTTTGGTTTTTCTTTTTTTTAATTTCCTATTCTTTTTTCCCCTTTTCCTTTTGTTTTTTCCTTTACTATCCCTTATTTTCTACACTTTCTTTTTTTCTTTACTTTCCATATCTTTCCGTTTTCTTTATTATTTGCTACTTTTTCCCTTTCCTCTTTTTTCTTTTTTCTTTTCTATTCTTTTCCTTTATTTTCCTCCTCTTTCCCCTCTCTTCCTTCCTTTTCCTTTATTTCATTATCTTCCATTTGTTTTCCTTTTTTAATTTCCAATTAATTGCTTTTCTTCTTTCCTTTCCTTTCTTTTCCTTTCATTTTCCTTTCCCTTTCCCTTTTCCTTTCCTTTCCTTTCCTTTCCTTTCCTTTCCTCCCCTTTCCTCCCCTTTTCCTTTTTTTCCTTTCCTCCCCTTTCCATTCCTCTCCTTTCCTTTCCTTTCCTCCCCTTTCCTTTTCCTTTCTTCTCCGTTCCTTTCCTTTTCTTTTCCTTTCCTTTTCTTTTTCTCCCCTTTCCTTTTCCTTTCCTCCCCTTTTCTTTTCATTTTCTCCCCTTTTCTTTTCCTTTCCTCCCCTTACCTTTTCCTTTCCTTTTCCTCTCCTTTCCTTTCCTTTTCCTTTCCTTTCCTTTCCTGTCCTTTCCCTTTCTTTCTTTCCCTTTCTTTCCTTTTCCTTTCCTTTCCTTTCTTTTCCTTTCCCTTTCTTTCTTTCCCTTTCTTTCTTTCCCTTTCTTTCCTTTCCCTTTCTTTCCCTTCCTGTCCTTTCTTTTTTCTTTCCTCCCCTTTCCTTTTCTCCCCTTTCCTTGCCTTTCCTTTCCTTTTCCTTTCCTCCCCTTTCCTTTTCCTTTCTTCCCCTTTCCTTCCTTGTCCTTCCCTTTTCTCACTTTTCATTTCCATTACCTCATTCTCTTCCTTTTTCTTTTCCTTTTCATTTTGCCTTGTGTGGCCCTTTCTATTTCCCTGTTTTTCTCTTCCCTTCTGCTCTTTTTTCCAATTCTGTCAATACTTTACCTTCCCTTCCTTCTTCTGCCTATTCCTTTAGTCACATACAGTAGGTGGAACCAGCATGGAGCTAATCATGATCTACATTCTTTTTCCGGGTCAGTGGCTGATAAATCATTGAAGCCCCTTGATCGGCATAACAGCAAGGGTTCTATCATTTTTTATAAGGAGATCGGCTTAGCTTCCCCATATTCTTTCCCTGACAAGTTTTCATTAATATGTACACAGCAAAATGGGAGTTTTGCTGTTATTCGTAATGACTAAAAACAACATCATCAGGAACTCCCCTTTAAGATTACAGCGGATGTTCATATTACAGTAATTTGATTAATTACGAGTGAACTTTTTCCAATTGCCTTCACACAAATCTGGCAAAGAGGAGATATTTCCATTCTTCTCTAAAACAAAAAGTGTTACTCAGAGGATTAATTAAGTTTTCAACTCAGTCTGAAGGCCAGAGCAATTACCGTACATTAAAGCAAATAATCTCTAATTAAGGAAGCAGGGATTGGAATTATTGTCCTTTTGCTTGTGGTTTGCTACATTGTTCAAAGGAAAATAAATTTGAAACTACATTTCTGGGGGAGTTAATGGTGGATTATGAAGTCATTATTCTTTGAAAATATAATATATGCAAGATATAATGATAAAAACTTTCTGCATTTTTATTAAAGTATGTTTAAAGCCAAAACTTTTTTTTTTAATTTTGTATAAAGTGAGGAATGGTTTTAACCGCTGTCAGTTTTCATTTGTGTAATCTATGCCGCATTGGGGAAATTTCCCTTTATTTCCTGTCATGGAGACACAACTGGAAAAAGAAGGAAAACTCTCTAAAGTGAGGGAAATCTCTTTTGAGAAAACTGTAACTGGAAAACGTCCCTATGAAAGATGTTCCCTCCATTCCTGTTTGGATGACAACTTAAAAAAATGCTGGTAAAAGTGTAGAAAGACAGAATTTTAATTGATGATCATAAAAGTAGTGCAGCGCTGTTAAAATGAATGTGCAGAAGATACTATTATGTAAAGAATATTAATATATCTTACTTCATATAAATCTCAAGTAATGCAAAGCATGCAAATGATATCACAACACAACGGCATAGATGCAATAAAGTGCAAAAGAACATATAAGACCACAAATGAGTGGCTATAATGGTAAGTATGTGAAAGTCCAAACAACGAACTTGAAGATCATAGCAGATATCAGCTAAAGGTGCTCAATTCCTCTAGATCAGGAGTGACAGATGGTGTGACTGGAAATAAGTGAATTGCGCACTCACCAGATGTGCGCTAAAAACATGCATTTGAGATCATTAATGTCTCATCAGGTCAGCCAGATCACTCGCTCCCAGGTATGGTCAGGTTCCTTTTCCTGTTCCCTTCAAGGTTCCTCTGTTGGTATCACTGCATCAGGTCACTTCTAAAAAGGGCTCTGTGAATAATGAGACTCACAAAGAGCCCAAGAATGATGCCACAGAGCGTGATCCTGCATTTAACAAGGAGTTTTATTCCCAGATAAGGTGCAAACAACAAAGGAGAAATAAAAACGACTGACCATGTATTCAGGATGGCCGCCAGTGGCGGCGTAACGTCAGGATGCTGTAGCCCCTTACCCTGACGTGTTTCGTGCAAAGCACTTAGTCATAGGGTGCAGGCTTACCAGGTTCCATCTATGGCGTTATGTTGTGATATCATTTGCATGCTTTGCATTACTTGAGATTTATATGAAGTAAGATATATTAATATTCTTTACATAATAGTATCTTCTGCACATTCATTTTAACAGCGCTGCACTACTTTTATGATCATTTGTTTTTAGGGGGTTTATGGTACCTTTTTGTGTCCTAGCAGCTAAAATTTTAAATAGAGCTCGCATAACCCTGCCTTACACAGAATTTTAATTGCTTACTTGCTTCAAAGGTTGACTACTTCAGTCAATTCCCTAACACAACTCCCTCCTTTCTTGCGCATTATAACACTCTCTGTTCTGGAAGTGACTGATAACTGTCTGTGCTATGACCGATAACTGACTCTACCCTCTCCCCCCTACATAATCTTTTCATTTCCAGGGGAAGAGCAAAGTGGAATGCTATAGAGCAGGCCTTCTCAACCATGGTTCTGTGGAACCTAGAGTTCCTCCAGAGATCGCTAGTGGTTTCTTGAGCTGTGTCTGATTGATCCCCCCCCCCCATTGGATGGTACCTGCACACAATTGTAGGGCCAATGCAACTTGGCAAAGTCAGCAGCATGACACCTATGGTCTTTTCAGCTGCTGTAAGGCTAACCATACAGGTTACAATCTGAACAGACAATCCGACTTAGATTTACCAAAGCTAATAATATGGGGACCTACCTAATCTATCCAATAAATCTGTATTCAACCAAGGAGACCCTTGCACTACATATTTGTGGGTAGACCTAAAGGAGGTTGTACAGATTGTAGGGTGTGTACGATTACCAATGTAAGGGGCATTCTTCCCACTGATTACCAATGTAAGGGGCATTATTCCCACTGATTACCAATGTAAGGGGCATTCTTACCACTGACCACCAGTGTATAAGGCTTTCTTCTCAATGACCACTGATGTAAGGAGCAGTCTTCCCATAGACCACCAATGTAAGGGGCATTCTTCCTACTGATTACCAATGTAAGGGGCATTCTTCCTACTGATTACTAATGTAAGGAGCATTCTTCCCACCGATCACCAATGAAAGGGGCATTCTTTCCATAGATTACCAATGTACTGGGCATTTTTCCCACTGACCATCAATGTAAGGGGCATTCTTCCTACTGATCACCAATGTAAGGAGCATTCTTCCCACCAATCACCAATGAAAGGGGCATTCTTTCCATAGATTACCAATGTACTGGGCATTCTTCCCACTGACAACCGATGTAAGGAGCAGTCTTCCCACTGACCACCAATTTAAAGTATTACTAAACCCTGGACCATGCATTCACTATATCTGGTCTCCCACAGTACGCAGAACATGGAAATGCAATTATTTTAGTAAATATAAACTGCTAAATACCTTTGCTCATCAGCAGTTAGAGCAATCTTGTGACTTCTATCAGTGTCCAGCAGAGCATTGATTAAAGTTTGTAGAAGGAGTTTTCATTCTCATGTGAATGTCCTATAAGGCTGCATAACCCCTGAACCTCTGTGTGGACAGTGCTGATTGGCCCTGTACTAATCATATGCACCCTCACAAAAAAAAAACTCTTTAGCAATACACACCAAACTGAGTATGTGCAGAGTGCCTCCTAGGGCTCTGTACTATCAGCAGTTCGATTCCAGACTGGGGAAGAAGGGGAGGATCAGAGAAGACAGGATCAAGCCTTTTTACACAATGCGGAAAATTAACTGATTTTACTGATGTTGGTTTAGTAACACTTTATGGAGCATTCTTCCCACTGGCCACTAATGTAAGGAGCATTCTTCCCACTAATCACTAATGTAAGGAACATTCTTCCCACTAATCACTAATGTAAGGAACATTCTTCCCACTGACCACTAATGTAAGGAGCATTCTTCCCACTGACCACCAATGTAAGGAGCATTCTTCCCACTGACCACCAATGTAAGGACATTCTTCCCACTGACCACCAATGTAAAGGAACATTCTTCCCACTAATCGCCAATGTAAGGAACATTCTTCCCACTGACCACTAATGTAAGGAGCATTCTTCCCACTGACCACTAATGTAGGAGGAGCATTCTTCCCACTGATCGCCAATGTAAAGGACATTCTTCCCACTAACCACCAATGTAAGGAACATTCTTCCCACTGATCGCCAATGAAAGGAACATTCTTCCCACTGACCACTAATGTAAGGAACATTCATCCCACTGATTGCCAATGTAAAGGACATTCTTCCCACTGTCGCCAATGAAAGGAACATTCTTCCCACTGACCACCAATGTAAGGAACATTCTTTAACCACCAATGTAAGGAGCATTCTTCCCAGTGACCACCAATGTAAGGGTTATTCTTTCCACTGATGGTAGTCAATTTGAAAGGGCATTCTTCAAATTGACTACCAATGTAAGGAGCATTTTTTTCCACTGGCCAGCATTGTAAAACATATTTTTCCCACTGACTACCAATGTAAGGGGCATTTTCCTACTGATTGTTAATAAACTGGTATTAGCAGGGATTCCCTGAGACCTGAAAATTATGTCAAGGTTCCCCTTGGGTAAAAAGGTCAAGAGAAAGGCCAAGTGACAGCTGCGAGTTCTAAGGGGCTGCTGACATCACTTCCAAGATGGCAGTACCCAGCAGCAGTCTCTGGGCTTTTAGATATCTAACTCCTCAAATATGTTCAGTGCACATAATAATCTCATGGGACTGTGATAACATAGACGTAGCAAATATCTTTTGTCTTCAGACTTAATAAAAAACCCGCAAAGCGTTAATACAAGAAGCAAACGTTTGATTCTACTTGCCAGCAATCACCGAACCTGAAATATCAGCTTTGACTGGGGTTGGCCTTTTATACCGGCACAGACTTGACACCAGCCTTGATCTCTGCTCGTGGTGTCAGCTGCACAATAGACTCAACACATGGACTTAAAGTTCAGCCAGAATTAGTGGAGGAACATGAGGCCCCTCCGCTGAGATTTAATATCTAATATTAATGGCGCTCATTGATCAACGGTCTTTTTTGTTTGGTGTTTTCTTTGATGTTTATTTCACAGTCCCTCATCTTTGTTTTTTATCAAAGGCCGTTCTTTATGAATATGAGATTAGACTTGAGAGATAAGGCTGTGGGCATTGCAGACCATAAAATAAAGCATAGGTCTGAGTTTTTTGGAATATATATAGTGTATGATGAAGGACAGCAGATTGGAAGAACAGGCAAAAAATTCAACGGTAAAATTCACATTTTTAATGCAAAGATGTAAGTTAGAACAAAATATAGATATTAAATGAATGTGTCCCAAGGTAGTAATTATGTTACCATGAGCTCTTTAATTAAGGAAGCTGCTTTCTGCTGAGTTATTTTTTTTCCATGTTAGGGGTTTTTCAGCTTAAAGTGGATCTAAGCCCAATCACTAAAATCTCATAAAAGCTTAAACATATTAATGTTGTTTTAATAGTCTGTTCAATATTTTTAATCATCAGCTTTCATTAAAAGAAAACCTGGTGATTAAAAAGTCCTTGATCAGGCACTTTCTGGTATAGAGTGACAACCAGGGGCGGAATGACCATTTGCGCTCTCGGTCCAGGTCCTAAGGGATCTCGGGATCTGTAAATTGTTGAGTTCAGGGGCCCCATGATCCCTTATTGCCCAGGGGCCCCATGAGTTGTCAGTCCGCCCCTGCACCTTGTATAGGTTCAGGGGCGGACTGACCATTTGAGCACTCAGGCACTGCCCAAGGGCACAGGGTCAGTAGGGGGCCCCATAGGATGCCCCAGATACCTTTCATTGGCTTTTTCATAGGCTTTTTTGGGTGTGGGTGAGGACACAGGGGCCCCATGATCCCCTATTGCCTGGGGGCCCCATGAGTTGTCAGTCCACCCCTGGTGACAACATTCTATTCCTGTTTCCCATTTAAGTATCCCCATTTTCAGTTTGTCACATGGGCTTCTGATGGAGGCTACAAGTGGCTGTTTTAACACGTATTATGCAAGCAGGGGCGGACTGACCATTTGCGCACTCGGTCCAGGTCCCAAGGGATCTCGGGATCTGTAATTTGTTGAGTTCAGGGGTCCCTTATTGCCCAGGGGCCCCATGAGTTGTCAGTCCGCCCCTGCACCTTGTATAGGTTCAGGGGCGGACTGACCATTTGAGCACTCAGGCACTGCCCAAGGGCACAGGGTCAGTAGGGGGCCCCATAGGATGCCCCAGATACCTTTCAATGGCTTTTTCATAGGCTTTTTTGGGTGTGGGCGAGGACACAGGGGCCCCATGATCCCCTATTGCCTGGGGGCCCCATGAGTTGTCAGTCCACCCCTGGTGACAAAGTTCTGTTCCTGTTTCCCAGTTAAGTATCCCCATTTCAGTTTGTCACATGGGCTTCTGATGGAGGCTACAAGTTGCTGTTTTAACACGTATTATGCAAGCAGGGGCGGACTGACCATTTGCGCACTCCGCACTGCCCGAGGGCCCGGGGTCAGTAGGGGGCCCCATGGGATGCCCCTGGTACCTTTTTCATAGGCTTTTTTGGGTGTGGGCAAGGAAACAGGGGCTCCATGATCCCCTATTGCCCGGGGGCCCCATGAGTTGTCAGTCCGCCCCTGTATGCAATGGTCCACCGTTGTCCAGTATCGGGTCAGCTTTGTCCAGTGCTCAGGGCAAGGATACAGAACTTTTACCCTCCCCCCCAAATAAATGCAATAGAATGGATGCGCTTAATAAATAAACATATAAACTACATATATTAAGGTGCCATCAGTGAATAAAGTGCTAAACGTTAATATTCCTTGTAAACGCTGGAATATTATCAACCAATATTAATTAGAAGTAGTATTAAACCAACCAAACTGAACTCCTAATTTATCAGTGATAAACACAACAGTGACAATTGATGATATAACTCCACAGAGGTATCCTTATTCTCCTTCACTATTTAAATAAAAAGTGCAATAATTGAAGTGAATAAGTGAATCCAAAAAAACTTTTTTTTAAAAGTGCATATACAAATCATATATATATGTGTATAAAGCATACATCATATATATATAAATAAATAAATAAATAAATAAAGTCCATGCAAGTGTAACTTGTGATAGAACAGTGATCTCCACTTCTAGTGCTCAAACACAAATCCTCAAATGGCAGCAGTGTGCACTTCTCATGTATGACCAGGTTCTATCTTTCTTGTGGCTAGAAGGTAGCTGAACATGCACGGTGCGTTTTGGGGGGAATGGGGTGGAGAGTTGGAGTACAGTGTGACAGCAGTAGCTGTCAGAGCAGACATGAAGCTGCAGTCCACTGGTTGCTACCCACCGATCTGGAGCTTGCATGTGGTGAGGGGGTGCCCTCTCCTACTGCTGCACCGTGACCAGCTGATCCTCCTGGCCACCCTTTGTCCTGACTCTGCCGCTGTTACCGCTAGTAAACCCATCCTGAGAAAAGCCATTCAACCATCACTTCCAATTGGCCACCAAAGTTGTCCATCACCCATTTCTTCACAAGGTCCTTTTTTCTTAATGTATACCTAAAAGGCAAAACTTTCTTTTTAGTTTTGGATAGAGTGGAAGAGGGATTCGAAAACCTGTCTGGCTTTAATTGTTGTCTCTACTCCCATTAGGCAGATTCATTTTCTCTATTAGTCCTGGTGATCACCGAAAGCAAAAGTGAAGGAAAATCTCAAATTTCGAGTAGTCACCAGAACAGGAATAGAGAGGAAATCTTAAAATGGGGACAATAGTTCTAGTGACAACCAGGGATTCCCTCACTTTGAACGGATTCCCTTTCAATTCTAGTTGTGGCTATTGGACAAAAAGTGAAGAGAAGTCTCCACTATAGATCAGAGATTGGTAAGAAAAACTGACAGAGGTTATAACCCTTTCTTATCTTATCCAAAATGATTTTTTGCCTTCAGGGCTACTTTAAAGAAGAATTCCAGTTATGGCAATTTTTTTACATAGTTATATTAGACCAACTTGAATGTAACTATGTGTATACCGTACCCATAGGATCCCATTTGAGAAGCTGGAAATCAACTGACAACTCATGGGGCCCCCGGGCAATAGGGGATCATGGGGCCCCTGTGTCCTTGTTCAAACTCAAAAAAGCCTATGAAAAAGGTACCAGGGGCATCTCATGGGGCCCCCTACTGACCCCGGGCCCTCGGGCAGTGCCTGAGTTTCCAAATGGTCAGTCCGCCCCTGAACTCAGCAATTTACAGATCCCGAGATCCCTTGGGACCTGGACTTTTTCCCTACTCCATTACCACAATATCGCTGGGAAAACCTACAGGTGCTCCATTGTACCATCACTGGTAAGCACAGTGAAAAGTTGCATTCTGGTTTACTGGAAGCAACAACAGACACCCCTGATCACCTTGTGGTTGGTGGCAGTGAGGGAGATTATAGAGATGGAGGACTTGGTGGCAACAGAAAAAGGCATAAGAGAAAACTTCCTTAAAAAGTGGTTTCACTGGCATGATTTTGTCCACTCCCAGGCTTACACCATTAAATTAGGAGACCATTGCCTAAGCAATTCTGATTGACAGCATGCATATGGACTGGGGGATGGGGCATAGCGGATCCCTCCCTTCTAATCCCTTTCCCATCTGTACTCTACCCTCCCACTACCCCCCCCCCCCCGTTTTTTTTTTGCGTGTGATTATAGACCTCTTTGGCCACATTTTTTCTTTTTCCTAACCTGAGCAATGCAGACGTTACAAGGTGTCATGGTGTAGGTGACATTTGTGTTCCGAATTTTAGTCTGCGTGGGTTTCCTCCAGATACTCCAGTTTCCTCCCACACTCCAAAGACATGCTGGTAGGTGAATTGGATCCTGTCTAAGAAAATTGTCCCAAGTATGTGTATGAATGAATGTGAGTTAGGGACCTTAGATTGTACACCCCTTGAGGGTTAGGGACTGATGTGAATGTACAATATATGTGTAAAGCGCTCCGTAAATTGATGGCGCTATAGAAGTACCTGAAATAAATAAATAATAGTCCATTACAGAAAGACACGTGGGCTCCCAGCTCCATGTTACTGTTTATCATGGTGCAGAACGAAATGAAAACGAGAAGCGCACCAACCTTGCGCATTACCTCAGTAACCAAAATGTATTAATTATAAAAATATACTCACAAACAGCGAATAAAATCAAGCATGTAAGTCCTCAAAGGGACTTGAAGATAGCGCGAATCCCATCGCGGGGATGGATATTCAGTACTTCTGACGCGTTTCGAAGGGTGTCCCTTCTTCATCAGAGGCAGAATTAATACATTTTGGTTACTGAGGTAATGCGCAAGGTTGGTGCGCTTCTCGTTTTCATTTAGTTCTGCAGTATTGGTCAGGCTTCCCCAGCCTTGTTTGG